GTAACCTGGTTGCCGAGTTCACGAAGTGAATTGGCTTGTTTTACAACGTCTTTGCCAAGCGACGAAAACCAAATCCCGATGGCAAACACCGGGGGGGGGGAGCGAGCGGCGGGCGGGTCAGGGTTAAATGCTTGTAGGATAGGATGGGATTGGGTAAGGTTGGATAGGACAGGATAGGGTAGGATAAAGTAGGATGGGATAGGATATGATAGGATACGATAGGATAGGGTGGGGTAGGACAGGATAGGACAGGACAGATTAGGATAGGAGAACCTCACCCCGCCCACTGCGGAGGGGACGTTGTGGTCGGACGTGAGGGTGGAATGCTTGTAGGATAGGATAGGGTAGAGATAGGGTAGGATAGAATAGGATAGGATAGGGCAGGGTAGGATAGGGTAGGATACGATGATCTCACCCGTCCACTGCTGAGGGGACGTTGTTGTCGGCGAGCCACTCCTTCAAGCTCTCGGCGATCGTGTAGCCCATCGCCATGCCGACGTGTTCCTCTGCCTGATTGCACCAGCAGGCAGGAAGGCCGGCAGGCAGGTACCCATGGCAGTCGCACAGGCAAAACAAAGAACGCGTGCGAGAGACAACAGAGAGACACAGAGAGACAGACAGAGACAGGAAGACACGAGAGACATAGAGAGAAAGAGAGAGAAAGAGAGAGGGAGAGCGAGAGTTGAGGGCAAATAAATAAAAGAGGGCAAAGAGGAGAACAGCGCACAGTCATACATACCACAACCGACACTAAACAATCACTCGAAAAAAAAACGCCTGCGCAAATAGTTGTGCATACAACACACATGAAAAACGTCAACGGGCGAGAGAGAGAGAGAGAGAGAGAGAGAGAGAGAGAGAGAGATCACCTGTGTATTGGCCAAGGCCTGGAGTTCCTCAATCTGCTTGGGCGTTAGGCCCTTTGTTGCCTCGACTTCCACTCCGGGGGCCTCATCGGGGTATCGATCGGGGATTCGGCACGTGAAGTCGATTCCAACTGCGGGCCAAGGATAAAAAATCGAAAGAGGAAGAACAGAAACACCATAACGCTGTCACACGGCACGTGTGAAGTCGATTCCAACAGTGGGTGAAAACAAGAGAGAAAGAGGAACGACAACAACAGAATAACGTTGTCATATGGCACGTGCAGTCGATCCCAACTGCGGGTGAAATGAAACACGAAAAAATGTCCACTCACTGCAACAACCTTCAGCGCATCTCCCTCGCAAAAACCAGCATTCCGACCGCACGCAGGCCGCAACCATGTACTCGTCAAAACGCGTCAAATCCTTTCTCCACTGCAACACCCCGAAATGCCAATGCCAACGCAAACACATGCCATATGGAATTAGCCCCCCTGATATCGAATTCCAACACATCTGTGCCTCCCTTCTGTCAGCGGTGTGACACGACACAACAACAGGACCGCCTTCGCGGATAACTAAGACCGCCTTCGCGAGAAAATAAGGACCGCCTTCGCGGAAAATTACGACCGCCTCCGCGAGAGATTAAGGATCGCCTTAGCGGAAAAACAAGGCCGCCTTCGCGAGAAATGAAGGACCGCCTTCGCGGAAAATTAAGACCGCCTCCGCGAGAGATCAAGGACCGTCTTCGCGGAAAAATAAGACCGCCTTCACGAGAAATTAAGGACCACCTTCGCGGAATATTAAAACGCCTTCGCGAGAAATCTAGTTTTTTGAGAAGTACAACAGGAAGGGGGGACGCAGACCCTACTCCCAAACCCTAACCCCAACCCAACCCCCCCGATTGTATGCTTTATCCAAAATATTTCCTGAATAGAAAAAACCTGCGAACGCTACTGCAACAATAAATATCACCATCAACGTGCAACAAGCCCCTTCAGCTGAAACATTTCCGCGAAGCACACATACAGATCATCTGGCCGCTCTCTGCTTCTCAATCGACAGGACATGTCAAAACGTCAACGTGCACGAAACAGCCCCCCAGCTGAAACATGTTGAGCATAATATGCAAACAATACGCAAATATTCGTCTGTGCTGGGTCTGGGACTCATGCAACACATTCCCTCCGCCTGATGCTCGACGCAAACCACATCAGCATGAACAAATCCAAAGTTGAACAACTCTACACAGAATACAACCTGCTTTGCTGATACTGCGGCGAACGGTAGGGGGGAATGCGGTAAGCCGGAGTTCACCAGGCAACGGGCAGTTTGCAATGAATACTCAATCCTCGACTACATCCCGGTAGATAGGGGGAGCACGCAGATCCCAGAGCTGCACGTAAGTGCGATAGATATAGGTTCGACCGACCACTTCCTCATATGGGCAAAAACATCGACCGATCTAGAAAGATGGAGAGTAAGAAACAGAGGAAAGTGTTCCGGTGGAAAGTAGAGCGTTTGGCAGACGA